GAAGGGTCAGAAAAATGAGCGAAAATGTTATTATTAATCATTTGGGTCACTATAGCCGGATATGATTTCTTGAGAATCAGTCATAATAAACGATATGTCATTTTAAACGGAGTCATTATATCCAAACTTTCCTGTAGAGAATTTAATATGAAAACTAAAACTTAACTCTGCAATTACTTCATATTAAGCGGTAAACGATAACCATGTTATTTCGATCAAATCTTTTTAACCTTTTAGTTAAGTTTGTGCATATAGGTAAGGAACTGAAGTCAGTTTTTATGCGCCACTATATTTAAATTATTTACATATATGTATGCTTTTCCTTAATGAACTCAGGCTTTTAACCTTTTTCATAGTCTGAAAAATTATTTACAACTTTTAAGTTTAGAAATATCGTCAGCGTTTTGAAACTACTACAGCGTTAGCGTTATTTTGAGAAAAGAATTTCAATAAATATGCATATGAGAATAAATAACACGATTCTATTGCATTCTCGCGTGGTTTGGTCAAGTCGTTATGTCCATGCAAAGCGGTCGGTGATGGATTTGACAGGTAGTAACAGGCTACTTGGATTAATATTGTCACAATTCCCACCCTTGTGAGAGGCGACCATAGTGGTCCTGACCATCATATTGGTATCCACTTCAGTTATACGCGAAGAAACACCTGATGAACTAGTGTAACCTGTAGAAAAGTTCTAATCTCTGTTAACGTACGGATAGAGGTGATTGTGCGAAAACCAAACACTTTTTTAACGATAAAAAATCTAAGATTAAGTTTTTTCCAATTATAAATGTGAACTGTGAAAAAAAGTGTACATTTTTAAGTGCGAAAAAATGAAGTTTGCTATCGCTACTACAAGTGCTACTTCATAGAAAGTATAATTCTCTTATCTCACGTAAATCCATGTATAAAACTTAAATTAATGCTAAAAAGTCAACAATCACCTACGTGTTAAAAAAATATGAAATTTTTAAATTTCAAATTTCATACTGGCGATGAGTAATAGAAAATATTCAAGAATATTATCTAAAGATAGTGATATTTAGCATCGTTTGTCTAACTTTACGGATATTTTCTGTTATGCAAATTTATTTAAATTGATCAGTTCAAAAAACAGGTATATTACTGTTTTGTTGGAGCAGGATTAATAAACAAGTTGGAATATATTATCCATTTTAATCAGCCTTGAGAACGACAGAGGACCACTATTCTAACAAAAGTCTATGTGTAAAACAATCAAGATGCCTTCCAAAATCCTTAAGGAAGAACTAAACAGGGGAGTTCTGTTTCCCACCAGTACAAACGACCAAAAACATTACGAAAAAGATGATATAACAGAACAAAACAGCAATTCTGATGATAACAGATTCAAAAAGGAGAAAGAAATCTTGAATGGAGCGTTAAAGGACAAAACATTACCTGCCGGTCCTTCAGATTACCTGAAGGATTCTCCTGGCAATTCTGTTATTGCTTCTAATGGTAACAGAAAACACTGCTACGATAATGAGCTGTTTATAAAGAAAGAAAAAGAGAACGAGGAAAAGCATTGTGAATATTTGCGGGAAAAAGTTGAAGCAAATGGTCCAGGCTTCTCTAGACATAATAAACAAATCTCATCATCAAAAGACGATTGCGCTGACGATACGGACTCGTCTACTATTATATCCGGTAGTGTTATTGAGGAGCCAGTTTTAGATGCACCCATTGTTCCAGAAACATCGTATTCGTTAAAGTGCAAAATCGATAATATAAACGATGAAAATTTGTTGAGAAAGTGTAAAATTGTGCCCATGTCTAAAATGGAACGGGAAAACTTGATGGAGCGCATGTACATGGCCCAAATGAAAATTGTTACAGAAATTGTTTCTAAGGAACCCAAATACAACAAGGATACATTCAAGCGCCTTTTCTTGTCACACGTGAGTGATAACTATATATCTTTATTAATTTATTACTTCTATTCATAAATATAAAATATCTATAAATTATCTTGTTTGTTTGTCTGACACAATTTTGCAACTGATTTTAAAACTCTTCGATGAGGTAGATACTTCAAACTTTAGCTCAGATTGGATGGAAATGTAACATTACCTCGGTTTCCTAACTGTCTATTCCTTAAGGTTCCGTAAAGAACCTTATTAGTTACTAAGCTCACACCACCTAAAACCTGAGACCTGAAATTTTCCACGTGTCTCCGTAAGAAGTAGAAAATTATTATTTAAATAAAAGAAGATTTTAATGTACTTAGCACCTTTTTAAAACGGAATCAAAAGTAAAAACAATGTCTCTTTTTAGCCTGAAATTAACCCCATGCATAAATTAGTGTATTTTTTAGTTAGAAAGTGCAAGCGTGTAACTTGTAAATGTATGAATTTTTCAGGACAACAGAACTACTAAACAAAAAACAAACAAACTGAACCTTTTTATAATACAAAATATGCGGAGTCATGATGAAGACATTCAACCAGGATTGCTTGTCAGGTCAACTGTTATTACACTTTTAAGTGCGAATAATGATACGGTTATTTAAACCTATTATTGACGATTGAATTGATCATAAAGCAATCAGAAATTTATAGGTACAGTATGGTTCACAGAGAGCAATACCATCTTGTCGATAAATGTACAGGTCTGACAAAGGAAGCTGGCGAGCGGTCGCGCAGGTACTT